CATGTTCAATCCTTGTTCTTTAATATACACTCCCTCCTTTCCTATTTATAGGGCTCAAGTACGAAATCTCATCAACCAAGACAGATGGTGAGTGAAGGAATGTATCTCGTACTCTAGATGAGTAGGAGCATTGCATGCATTGGTGAGTTCCTTTTTAATTCATGCATGCAAATGTTTAATGCGCCTCGAAATCTCAATATGAGATGGAGATGAGCTCTTTAAATCGGTAAAACGAAAAATTTGAGATAGTATTAGTGGTTAAAGCCATGGATCAAAGACCGTGCAAAGTCAAGTGCGCCTTATATTTTGGGAAGCAGGGAGTTATAATTTGCTATTTTTGAATTTTCTATAATATATTTATATTCCAGTCATCTTTTCAATCATTGGATCAACACCTAGACTAAACGTACGAGTTCTTGCAAAATTGCGCACTTTGAGTACTAAACTTTTATGTCACGTGTAAGTATGCAATTTTAGATAATCAATACTTTGAAAGTGTTAGCTACTGAGAATAGTAAAAGTGAAATCATATGCATTCTATCTGTGAAAAAAACAGTATGCCGCTGTTGGAGCTTCTAATCTAGGTAAAATAAATGAGTGTACTGTTTGTTGTCGCAAAAACGCACAGTACAACTAATCTGTAGCTAAAAAAATAATTTCTACTTTATGCACGGATGAATCTAGCTTTATTTTTCGCTGGACTAATATGTAGCTAACAAATTTCTAGTTTGTGCAAGGATGAATGAGTCATCATATTCAACGTTTCTGCGAAGAATAGTGTGGCATTGCACGCCTTGACAGATCCTTAATGCTTAATTGGCTAGGCCATCTACTAATATGTTTTGTTTGTTAGAAAGTATGGTTTTAATTTAATATTTTTCAGAAACAGATGTTAAGGTTAGTTTGAAAGATTGATAAAATCACATGTTGCAGATCAATTTTAAAAATGTGCATGTACCTCACCATAAATATGCATATATTTGAACAAAGTGGCCATCTCATGTTTAAAATGTATTTCTAAATATCCAAAAACATGTTCTGAAGAAGAGTTATTCATGAACATCTAAATATATGTTCATATGCTTTAAATAATTAAATATGGATATTCCGGTATTTTGCCAAAAGCATAAGAAAACAAATGAAAAAACAAAAACATGGCAGAAAATGAACAAAGTAAAATGGATGCAAATAAAATTTGAAAAGGCAAAACATAAAAAACACGAGAAAAGGTTAAAAGGGAAAAAATGAGACAAAAGGAAAACGCAAAAAATGATACCCAAACAACATCAGCCACCCAAAATATGTAACAGTAATGTTTGAGCAGGGAAAGGAGTTGTGCAAGACAACAAAGACTAATAAACACGGCCTTTTTTACTTTACTCCGAGGAGTTGTGCAAGACAACAAAGGTCGCACCAAGTCATAAGCAGCATCCACTTCTTTTACAATGACTTCCATGCAAAGAAGATGCAACTCTAAACATTTTGATATGCTTCAAGAAGTTTTTGGGTCTGTAACTGGATGTAAGGATGATATGAACTGCCAGCCGATATAAACATCGCTGCTGCATGGTATCACATCACAGCTCCCTTGCCATGTGTATGCAAGTCGCTCGTCAATACTAAATTCATCCATCCTTGATCCAATTTATTTATGTTTCTCTTCCTACGATCCATATAAAACTTAGGGTTGGCTTTGATCTCGGTGCAAGTTCAATGTTTTAGGAGTGGACTATGACGCGGCAATATATATGTAACACACATCTCGAGTTTACACAACTTCATCAGATTTCAGATCATACAAGCTAGGGGCATATAGGCGCCCGGTACAGTATTTCAGATGATGATACAAATCCCCGGTTACGTGGGTCATTTATTTGGACACCACAAACTTGACACACCACAAAGTATGGGCGCTGCGGACGAGACCTATGATGTCGTCACAATAAGCAAGGAATAGATCTTGCACTAGAGAGTGGCTCTAGTCCAAACTAATGGGCCCTTAACTCTGGCTCTAGATGCAGCACCCACCATGAGTTATTCTGATGAGTATGGAATAGATGCCATCACAAAGATAGTACCCCATGTTGTATTGATGCCCATTGAGATTTTTTCGAGACATTAAAACATTGTTCCTAGTAGTTTTCATCGGTTTCCACCGAAACTTGGTTTTCACGTAATTTTCTATCCTTCTTCATCAAAAGAAAAGGAAAATCAGAAGCTTTCATGCATGCACAGCCCGGACATCTCAGATGATACAAAGACATGAATATCCCAGATGATATAAGCACATTGTTAGACAACTTCAACGTACTTTTATTCCACTTACATATGCATGCATGTTTGGTACAGTATTAATTCCAACAACACAACACGACACACTTTTACGATTACGCATGTACCTACCTAGTGAACACCGTTGCATGCATTCATGCACAAGACTGAGATATAAGATGAACTGGAACGCAAACTTGCAAAGAGCACATATATGTGTACGGTTGATCGATCAGCGCGGGCAGGTGTAGGTGGATTCGCAGCGAATGTTGCACTGGTTGAGGAGGAGCACGACGTCGAGGCGGAGGCCGAGGACGCCGCCGAGGACGTCGCAGAGACACGCGGCAGCTTGCAGGTCGGCCAACCCGTAGAGCAGCGGGCAGCACTCATTCGCAAACAAGCCGAGACTGAGAATCGGCAGGTTCAGCACATTGACGCACACTTGCAGATTCGGGCACGAGCCAGAGCTAGTTGATGGTGGTGGTGGCGACGCGGGGTACGCCGGTTGCGGTGGCGACGGCGGTGGTGGGGGCGGCGGTGGCGGAGACGGGGATGGGCAGTTGTATCCCGGGCACGACGGTGTTGGCGGCGGCGGCGGCGGAGACGGGGACGGGCAGTTGTATCCGCAACCGCGAACTGTGGAGACCGTCAGTGCCATGGCAAGGAGCAGGAGGGCGAGCTTGGACGATGGCGGCGGCGCCATTGCTAGAGCTTTGATTGAGAAAGCTAGTCACATGTGCATGTGATTGTACCGCTGTATGTCCTCGGGTTGTTTTGGGGTGCTATTTATAGCCGGATTATACATGATGCAAGAGGTTGTGTACATGTTGATGATCAGATCAGAATCAGATCGTGTACCCTCATGGATCGATGCTCTGACCCAATGTACGCAGTTTACAACAAGCCACGCGCAGCTTACAGTACAGGTGCCCTCATGGCACTTGCTGGAATTGGCTGATATTTTTGGGGAGCACGCCACGGGCATGCATTGCTTGCTCTCATTATTTGTGAACGTCCACTATAGACATGAACTAATTAGGTAGTAGCAGGCCAAGTCAACTATGTGCTCCTATAATATAGCTGGTTATTGGCTCCTCTCCTCATATGTGGCACTAAATTGGTAGTCGCGTCCCTCAAGATCGGATGCTAAACAACCCTCATGCACACAAGTTGGCTCATTAGGCCAGTGGTTCTCATAGTAGACCAATTAATATGTGTTATATCACGGCCAATGGCTCCTCTACTCAAGCATGGCACACTATTATATGATCTGGTATGATTTCATTTGGATTTACCCTCATGCATACAAGTTGACTAATTAGGTGTGCCGATACAACTCCCAGATCTTTACACTCCCCTCAATCAAACTAATCAGCTAACAAAACTGTCTGTATTAGCTGCTGTGCATCGTTCCGCTTGGTCAGCCCATCCTTCACTTGACCGTTGGTTGACACGGACCAAATTTCCAAGGCCTTGCGAGCCACCCTTAATTTCATTTCATTCACTAATTCGATAGATTTGCAAAGTACGGAATTTGCTTCTTCACTCATCATTTGTCTTGGTTGAGGAGATTTTTGAGTTAAAAACTGAAAAGAGGGAGTATATGAAATTTCATCTCCTTCACTGGCCCATGACCTATTATTGGTCACTCATTGCCAACTGAACCTCATATTGAGAGTAATTTCCAAAAAACTACCATTTTAGAGGTATTTGCCCCGAAAACTACCCCCTTCTTATAAAAAAACTACCATTTTTGTTCTAAAATTTTCTTAAAAACTATCGCTTTTGCATAGG